TGTCCGGTGTCCGGGTCCGGGGTTACCATGAAAATTTTTAATGCGTTTAAATAAATGAACCAATCTTCGGCGTCAAAGGACGCTGACAATTAACAACAGTATATTTCGAAATGCACTAAGACTGTTCGCAGTGGTCGCGAATTACTACGTGTGCGCCCCACTAAGCATCTTCAACACTCGTCTTCCCGAAACTAGACCATCTATCCCCTTCACGCCGTATAGTCTGGCTATGCTCTTGGTCAGCATAAGCCGCCAAGAGGCAGTTCCCACCTGTTTTTGATAGAGGATGAATGCGGCTTCTTACAGCTTCTATATACTACCCTATCGTCTATGAAAACAACACAACACTCGTCTTCTCGGCCTACGCGAAACAAACGAAAACCAACTGCAAACAGCTTCGACAAGCTTCGAAAACACAATAAAAAACAATGCAAATCACCGAACAGACGCGCCAAAAGCGAAGTTCGAAACCCCGCCAAATGTTTACTACGGAACTACGACAGGCGCAGAAGGGCTGCGGTCAGCTTCCAGATTGCGTCCTTCTTTTTTTGCGAATCCGTCCAGAACTTTCCCAAAGAATTGCTCCGGGAACCCTGTTGCCCTGTACTCCATTCTGAGATACAGCACCTGGACAGAAATTTCCGTCCTGTCCGTCTAGTTACGGTCCAACTTGCAAAGGCTCCCGCTAACTGCAGTAAATAACTTTCTGCCTTTTGCTGTTAGAAGATCTGAAATCCTGACTGGCCCTGATTACCAGGGGCCTACCTAACCTCGCTGCTTCTTCGTTTTTACTTATCTGGATGTTTCCAAAATACGGACGGATACTGCTGCGTAACCCTCGACGGCACCCCAAAAAACCCCAATTACCCTTCCCTGTCGTCTGTCCGCTTCAGCGTTAGATTCCGGGGGTAACATCGTTCAAACCTACTCCTTGTTTACTTTGCCCTGCCCAGCGACCTCCTGTTCCCTTCCTTATATGCCAAAAATAACGACACATCATCGACAAGGCATATCCCTACTACCGACCTTCGGTCACCACCCAGTGAGCTCAAGAAACTGCCTCGGTCACCACCCAAAAACGGATACTGCAGTCCCAAGGGTTCCCGGTAGGTCCCAGTCCCTTGGGGGCCTAGCGGTCCGTATGAGTCCAGTAGGGTCCGCAAGCCGAAGAGTCGTAGGTCGGTAGAAGTCAGGCCTGTACCTGACAGAAAATGCCCAAAGCCCCAAAGTCCAACTTTGCAGCAGCATGCTGGGAAAGTCCGGTGACTTCGGGGACTAGAAATTGCAGCCGACAGGCCGTGGGGACCGTTGCCGGTCCGGAGCAGACAAAGAACACCAAGTGCTGCTATTTATAGATGGTACAGTACCCTTTCACTTGTCAAGTCGTTTGAGGCGGAAGCTCTGCTGCAGCGCATGTGCGACCCAGTGAGTTGGACAGCCGTCACTGAGTCGTGGCAATTGAGGAAGGAGAGTGATCGGCGCCATAGGTAGGGTTGTTGGGAAGGAAGACGGAGGCCATAGCTGCAGAGTTAGGAGAGAGGGAAAGTGAGGGAGAAGCGAGTGTATTCAGGATACGTGAGGGAGTGAACGATCCAAGGTCTGTGTGTGTGTGTGTGTGTGTGTGTGTGTGTGTGTGTGTGTGTGTGTGTGTGTGTGTG